TGTGCAAAAGGCTGTATATGAATTATACGATACAGCAATATGTAAAAATTAGGAACTTTTTGACTCATATTTCAAGTATATATAAAATATATCAGAAACTATGGGATATCATAGCCAATATTTTTTTTCAGAAAGCTAAGTGCTAGTGCTAAGCAACTTCAAAAAAAATATCAGGGATGACATTCCATAATTTCTGATGTATTTTATATATACTTGGAATATGAATCAAAATGATCATAATTTCTGCATTGCTGTAAATCTAGATATGTCTTTTCTGACCAGGGACGTAGGTCAAATTTCGCATCGAATTTGGATAAAAATCACTGTCGGGTTAAGGGGGCTGGTTCACTTTGCAGAGATGTCTATCATATGCTCTTTGGACTTGATATGTGAAAGTTGCTAACCCTTATTATAATTATTATATTATATTATAGGAAGAGCCGACGGGTTCCTGGGAGAAATATATCTGTTCTTAAGTCCCAGCCAGCGTAAGTCACAACTGGTTGCCAGCGAGAAATTCAGGAAAAAAGAACTCTCCAGGCAAGAAATACTTTGTCAGAATTTTTGCCAGGAAAATAAAAATGTCGTAACTAAAAAAATATAAGCCGTTTTTGACCAGAAAAACGTTTGCCAGGAACAAAATTATTTCAAAGAAGGAAGGGTGGTACATTTGCTACATTGTCAACAATGTAGGTCAAACATTCGTGCAATAACAGTTATTTAAAAGAACAGACCCCGTCGGCTCCTCCTGATATTATATTACATTAATTAATTAATACAAATGGTTACCTTGTAATTTAGAACTCCACGTGAACTCTGCTTCCTAGATATTAAAATTTCAGAGAAATCTTTTAGCCTTAACCGCATTCTTATTCCACCTAACTGCCTTACGTTGCACCCTTTCTCGTATGATATATAACATCGATTTACTTCACCCTAAAGCTTAAATGTTTGTATTGGATATTAAAGGGACATTGTCCACCAGCATTCATTGCGGTCATGGTTTTGATTTTTGATATATATAAAAAAAGGAGTTGACTTCAAATATCCATTCGCAATCTTTTTCCATCCATCGGTTTAAAGATCGAATCTTGCAATATATCCATTCATAGAGCATAAAGGGTTAATAAAGAGTAAGTTTTGCTTATATTACCAACCGATATTTCTATATTTTTAAATGTAAGTAAAAGTTCGAAAGGGATGGCGATGGACTATGGCCCTTTAAGGAAAATAAAGAGTTTGGGTTATAAAATTCATAAAATAAGGTTCTTGTTAGATTATCAAGGAAAAGGTATTGACGTATAATAAAGATAATCAACTGAATTGGATTTTATGTCTAGCATCAGAAGTTTTCACCAAAGTTTTTTTAAAAACATATTACATGTCGTTTTTATTACAGTTATTACAGTATTTTTACTTGCTCAATGAATCTTTTGATYTGAAAACAGGTTCAAGCTGTTTTRCRCTGTTTTTGTCGCCGCTATTGAAGTCTCATTGTAACTCKCATGTTTATCGTAAAATATTGATCAACAAGKCGAAAGTACCTAAATTAAAAACACCAAATCCTCTTGAAACTACATATAATTACACTAAAAACTCTTAGAATTCCACTTACCCTTAGAAAAGACATCCCTCGGACTTTCACCGTGTGATTGTTTACCATAGCGCCTATWGTAACATTTAAGTTAACTCTCAAAGCGTACATTGTCATGAATCCCAGAAAAGTCATAATTGCAAGTATATAACGTTTAGGAAACGAAAAAACTCTAGGTTCATCATTATCATCGTCGTAATTGTAATCTCCACTGTAGTTATCTTGGTGAATTGAAGCYGATGTAGGCTGGGCTTTTGTTTTTCTCTTCTTTCTTCTTTTACACTTGCATTCACAAAACTGACAGCAAATTAAAAACTTGGACATWATGTGAAAACAGCGATACATTGCATTCAGGAACCGAGTAAGTCCCGACTCGAGGCTATCGTTTTTTCCCATGATAAATGATACAGTTCCTAGACTGGGTGTTGACAAATTTGAAGGCTTTTTTATGTAGTGGCCATTTTTTGATGTCGTGAAGTTGGGAGAAGGTGTTACATCAAGGTGAAGCGAACCGTTCGAAAGACCTGTTAGTAGTTCACTAGCGGCTAAAAGCAGGTCAGCTAAAACCGCTTTCAGAGGATTACTCATCCACTAAAAGCAAAATCTTTCACTATAGTTGATTTATAGCATAACAAATTAAGAGATTTTAGTTAGTTTAGTGAAGCAAATGCTGGTGAACGATGATAGTCGTCTTTGAAGACTTAATTGGCAGCAAGWAACCGTGATGTTTAATTTGAGTTTTGAGTCTTTTTCAAAAACCGTTTAAGAGGTGATGACAGGCTTGTAAGAGAGTGTCCTTATAGCCTCTTTCACGAGAGAGTTTGCCTGCAAATGAAACAATCACTCAAATAATACATCTTTAGTAGAACACATTTATTCATCTTTACCCCTTCGTCTCTTCGTTCGTTCGTTCCTTCTTTCCTTCCATTCTTATTTTCCCCCTCCCTTCCTTTTCTCCCCTCCTTTCTTCCATAAAATATCCATGATTTATAGAGGATATTTCATGGGCGCGTGAAGATACGGATTTTACCTTCGAGTGTTGAAAAGATCTCTCACGAGTGAGCGTAGTTAACATGTTATTTTCACTAGTGAAAATGATAACTTTACGAAATGGAGAAATATACTGAGGTATTTAAATTGTACGAGAGGTTGTGCGATTTTTTGTTTATAGTACATTCAAATTAATTAAGGAGTACAATTACAGCGTTAATTGTACTCCTCTCAACCAATCAGAATGTATTATTTTGTTGAATGTACTATAACATAGATAATTATATGATAAATTGGTATATTGAGCCAGCGATAGCGTTCTTTGTTGTTAGTGTTGTTGTTTTCAGGAATTCATATTTATTCATTTGACTTTTCTATGAGGTCCGTTGGATCTTTAGTCTATCGATTCTTCCTTAATTTGATGATGAATCGCCTCAAATTCAATAAAAGACACCCTGTAGCGCAAAAATTGATAGTTTATTTAACACGTATACATTGTATACATTCAATCTATTGGTAACGTAGTTACCATAGCGACTGTCGTCACGGTAACAAACGGCACATAACATCAAACAAGAAACAACATTTTTAACACCTCAATTTTTGTGTAACTTTGTTATACCAATAATCGTGCAAAGTATTTTATATTTGAACTAATCGCAGAATTTTTTTCGAGCTTACAAAGTATTAGACTKTGTATTTTGATTTCTGTCATTAAATGACGTTATACTTGCAGCCAACATTCTGCACAGCGGTACGAGTATTACGTTCAATAGTGYCATGCTCCAAGTAGCTTCAAGTTAGCTATAGCTCTTGAGATGAAAAGCATGACTAGTCTTATTATTTCTTTCACTATTATTAGAATTATAACAATTTTATAATTCGGAAAAAAATGTAGTTATTTTATGTGTACTTGATCGTTATGAGACGTGTATAATGAAGCCATTAAAATGTTTGGCGCGCTTCTAAACGCGCGCTGCGTAGGTACAGCTATGACGATTTCTGATTGGTTCATGCAATAAGAAAACTATTGAAATTTTCGCGCGCTTTTTTCAGCGCGCGCGCGTCTAAGTAAACTTACTTGATTCTGATTGGAGTAGGCTTCATTTTATACAATGCTTGCGTCATCTTCATTTTAAGGATGTAAAAACTACAATTTTAGCTAGTTGAATCAATACTATCAAAGACACTATTACAAATGTGTGTAACTACATATGAATTTATTTAAGATGTTCTTATTCGTCTTTCTTCTCTTCGCCCTCTGGCGCAGCGGCCTCGTCATCCTTCTTTTCCTCGTCAGCTTTTTCTTCTGGTTTGTCGTCTTCGTCTTTCTTCTCGGCTTCTTGTTCATCCTTTTTTCCTTTYTCCTCTTCCTTTTCTTCGTCTCCTTTTTCAGCGTCTTTGTCTGGCTCGTTGTTTTCGTCGTCCATTGCCCATGGCTGTTTGTCGCCTGAGACTAGCAGTCCAAATAGTACTATACCGATGATATACATGATGAAAGTGATCCAGAAAACTATACGCCATTCTCCAGCAGTCTAGAATACAAAAAAAAAAACAGTTATTCTAATCCTCCACTAAATTAATTTGACTATCATGATTTTGTATGCTTGAGATAAATTACATAAACCAGTTGTTTAATAGAAACTTAAACTTTCAAGATAAAGCCATTAGTTCTTGTATCTTCCAGGGACTGACATATAGCATATAGCARTGCAAAAGTGAATTGCAGTTACGCGTTGACTTCGTAGGGCGTTAGCATGGTACCGTCGGTAAGGAGCGGCGCAGAAAGGTACAACGGTTTGACCTGTTTCTTTTGGACGGTCCAATTTGATATTGGTGTTCTATTCCGGATAATTGTGAAAGTGTGGAGAAAATAGCCATCCTCTAAAAGTCCTTTTTATGGCCATTAAAAAGATGTTTTAGATGTTTCATTTCACTTACCTTATTTGCCGTGACGAACCCAACAACTTGTGGACTGATGAATCCTGGCGCGGCACCAAACACATTCGTAACACCCATGATCACACCAGCGTACTTGGGTGCAATATCAAGAATATTGACCGCATAACCTGCCGCATTGATACCCGTTATACCAACACCAATGGTCAGGAAAAACACTGCCAAATATGGGTAGTTGGCGTATCCCGTCATCAGGACAAACACAGAGGCGACCGAGCAACCTGGAAACGAGAGTGACGTCATGTTAYTTAAATCTTATACATGTCGTAAATACAAGCTGATTAAGAGGCATTTAGACTGCAAGATAGCGTAAAATGATGGCAGTTTCCTGTAGTGGAGAACCACAGCCARTCAGATTGCTCGTACTATCTACCTACCAATGGTAAAGACACAACGTCGAGTGTTCCTGACGCTCATTTTGTTTTTAATCAACCAATCAACAACTACACCGCCGGTTGGTCCAACAATGGCTTTGAGGACGTAAGGCAAAGCTGCCAGGAAACCAGTCTGAAATGACGCAAGAATAATGACGTATCAAAGTTTGTGGCTGGAAAAGGCTTGCCATGATAGCAATACAAATCAATATCGATGTTGTCCGGGGAATATATTACATAATTAGTAGAGTCAAGATCTCTCGTGGTAAATGCAAGTGGTGGAGAACCCGGCAGTAAAAATATTCAGTGAAAAAGTAACAMAATATATAAATTGTAACGCCATGCCAAATTACCTTTGCCAGATCAAAGTGAAGAACTTCAATGAAGTACTTTGGAAGACAGATGAGGATGGTGTACATTCCCCARTCGGCCGTGAAGTTAGCGATGATGACGGCCCATACTGGTGCAGATGTTAGRATAGACTTCCAAGGTACCTTGATCTTTATTAGAAATATGTGTTAACAAGGGAGTTATGGAAGGAGGAGGCAGAATTACTGCATATAGGTTGAGAATGGACTATTAACACTTCTCAAGACATTCTGACGTCCTGTCAAAATTTCAGTTTATTGACAATTTTATTTTTATGAAATTAAATATATAAACTATCGAAAGAAAACGACTTTTCTTTACGAATCTAAGTGCGCGCTTTCTCTATCTTGTTACATGGTGATCTTTTGGCAAAATGTAATTCAAACACGAGAGAAGTGATTGATTGATAAGTGGTGGGCAAGTACAAATTCTTCTCACAAACTCACTTCTCGAGTTCTAACCAAATACTCTCCARGTACTTTGTAACTCGATAAAGCACAGCATGCAAGCTTAGGTGTACAAGCTCGGTGACCACTGACCAAGTAATCAAACCCATTGTATTTACTATGCAGATCACCGTTATCGTTTCGTACCTTTTTCGTTTGGGTGCTGTCGGATATAGCTTTTTCAATGTAGTCCTTTTCCTCGGGTGATATCGTAGGATGTTCGGCTGGCGATGCATGGATTGACATTTGCCAGACGAAGAACCACATGAGACCAACAGCACCTATTGTATTGATAAGGCACTTTAATAATATCAACAGACAACATCATTGGYATAATTATATAAAATGTCGGTGGCCAAAAGGCTTTTCCATCAATAGCGCACGGTGGTTTTTATTATTCTTTTGGAAAGTTAGAATTCCCTATACAAATCGACTAAATTTATCATCCAATCATCATTGCCGTTTAAAATTAAGCTTACCAAAGCAATAGAACACTGATGCCCAACCTCCATCGAATCCATATTTGGACATTAGACCACTAAGAGGCATGGACAAGATTGTACCAACAGGGCAACCTGTGGAAAAAAAGAACCCAGTTCTGAAATACAGATAGGTTATGCACTGACAAACATTATATCGCATGCTGAGCTGCTGATGAACATAAGAATTGACCTTGTATGTATCAAAAAGAACGATTCACTGGTTCAAAAGGTTGACGGAGAAATTGGAGACCGAAAGTCATTCAATTCAATATTGATTGATGGATATGATTTACCTTGCTTGTAATACACGGAAAACCGTGATTGGAGAACTTCATTAGAAGAAAACTATATTGGCTGTGCCATAGTGACTTTCGGTCGTGCAACTAATCACAAATATCTCTAACAACTTTTTTTGCAATTGCTGTGCGTACTCTTGCTGCACTTATAAAAATATCTAGATGCGCAATTGTTTTAATGTAACTTTTATCTGCTGTTTGGTATTTTCACTATTAGGTCCCTAGACTGARTCATCAAGTTCTACGTACCAGCAACAGTAATAGTGAAGAGCCTTGTTCGTTCTGATGGTGGCGCCCACTTACTCCAGATAGCATGGTTACATGGGAAGAGAGCTCCCTAAATGAAAGTAAGGCAATATACTAACTTAGTAATTTGTGTGAGACATTTTTCCTTGAAAAGAATCATGCAGAAGGCAAAATTCAAATTTCCTTGTGTTCAATATTCGGATCTTTCTGATGTCATGAACAATATCGAAAACCATCTCTAAGCCACCCCAACGTGTATCGTCGATGCTTCTAGTTAGTTAAGTAACCTTGGAGTTACGCRCCAAAAATTGCGCCTTTTGATCGAGCACTCAAGAATTTKAACTAAATGAGGCGCTCGATTTTGTAGCACTCTACATCTATCCTAGTTTAGTATAGCCTGCCCTTYAAGGYGTGGTGTGTTATCATATAATATGTCTTACCAGAGTCAAACCCTCGATGACACGAAGGATAATAAGCGCAACGACGCTCGTTCTTGCRGCAATTGGTGTMAGCATGGTRAGTATGGATGCAATACCCAGGCAAATRCCAAACACCTTAGTACCTCCGAATCGTTGACCTAACCAACCACCGGGGATTTGCATCGCCATGTAACCATAGTAAAACGAACCGAGAATTGTACCTTGAAGTTTGGAGCTCCAGTTGAACTCGGGTTTCTATTGAGGCAATAGGAAGCATGTACTCATTGAATAAGTATGTATTGTATTAGTGTAAGTATTAGGAAATATAATGTTGGCAAAAAGAGCTGTCACTTATTCACTGAACTGGTGCACCTCTAAAGGCACAAAGGCTTCTGAGAACCTTTGCGCGCCTTTCAAGGTTTGCATTGCTTATTCCATTACCTTTACAATGGTAAATCCATTCTCTTCGACTGTTCTTGGGTTACACATGGCTCCTATAGCCACACTTAGGTTCACTCTTAGCGCATACTGTACACAGATACCAAGGAATACCATAATGGCCACGATGTATCGCTTAGGAAATGCTCCTTTTTTCCCTTTGGGTTTTTCTTCGCATTCTTTTCCCGTCTCTCCCTCACTCTCAGCAGGTTTTGGTTCATCTTTGGACTCTTGCTTAGCCTCATCAGCTTTGGCTTCGTCGTTGGCTGCTTCTTTGGGTTCTTCCTTGGGTTCTTCTTTGGGTTCTGTAGGTTCAACTTTCTGTTGCTCGTCACTCATGGTAAGTTCTTCATGCAAATAAATTTGATAAGAAATTTAATTAATGATACATAATAGGGCTATTTGTTTTTAAAATAACTKAATATCATTAGGCCCTACTTCTGTCTGTGTATTATCCTAATAATCATTGATGAAAATTTATATCTGACTGCTTTGCGGTCAATTTCATCCTGGAGAACACAGTCGGAATAATCAACTTAATTCTCGCTCTTGGAAAGAGGTTTTCGAAGAAGGGTATTACCAGTTACAATCAAAATGTGGAACTAAGGATTTTTTTCTTTTTTTGGATGTTCACTGCAGGAATTAGGGAAGGGGAGTGGCGCTTGTTTTGTTTGAAATCCCGCCGAAATCACGCTCTTTGCGAAGGAAAACACTTGAGGACTTCATGTCAAATTAAGTGAGCATGCTGTTGTGGCAGTTGTGATTTCAACCAATGCGAAAGCTCGTTATGTTTTGTATTGTCAGTCCATTGTACGTAAGAGCAAGTTTACCCAATGAAGRAGCAAGTCCTGTCGAAGGTCATTTCATTACTTGGTGTCAGAGGTGGGATTGAAGACCAAGCTCTACATTCTGTACGTCTTAGTATTTTTCTAACTGTGAACTTTGCATACTGTGAATATTTTTTCTCTATATGTTTTGCATGGACTATGTAARCATATCATTGATATGTAACCAATGAAATGTTCCGTAATAATATTGATTTGTAGCCAATGAAATGTTTCGTTATAAGCCAGCTGTACTCTCTTTATTAGCCTTGAATTAGTGAGTGGTTGACAAAGTTGGCTCTCTACGCTAGCTTTTTGATCTTATCRCCAAGTTATTAATATCCATTAATAAATAATAATACTTTTGATTAATGATATACTTTGACAGGAATAGCCCATAAGAGGGAGACTMCAGCAATATTATACACAAGTTTAGYTGTTTTCAAYWAWAAAGTAGACCAAATTCAAAKAAATCTTGCAACCGAAACATRGAAGTTACCATTTCATGTCAAAGTTACCTGCTTTCTTAGTTGCAGGTCAAATTTATTGGTACAAAACGAAGTTGACAAATRTGTCGGGTGAGAGTTAGTTATTAGGGTTGTTCTAGTGTTTTATAGTATTTTTCAAGTGACGTTTTCATGTGATTTATAAAAACGTGATTTGGAAATTGATTATTTTAATGTTCACTTGGGCTTGTCCGTTTGCCCACCCAGGGGACTTTGTTTGTTTTCTGGTTCGAGAGGTTTTGCTATTACTTAACGTACAGAAAATCATAACAAACTTCAAGCTCCATAAGACACAAAACCCCTGATAAAAACTTCACTTTAGATTTCTCCAACATAGCAAGATTTTCACTCGCGATGTCTGACAAGATCCTRGGAAACTTACCTTTTTATAACCGCACAAAAATCCAACCGCTAAAATTTCAGTATTTCCTTACTGCATCCTTCACCGGGCGAGTCTCTCAAATGAAATGTTCTTTTTTGTGACAAACTCTCCCCAAGTTCGCCTTTTTTCAGGTCCCTCTTGGCCCCCTGATGTCAATAACACGTTCTTTGCCCTTYGGAAGGACTATTTTTGTCAATGGTTGACAAAAACGAAATTGTTGTAGGGGAAAAATGAAAGGACGTTAGTTTGTCTTGACACTGGAACACCTGGTAGATTGTGTTTCACGGTTGGGCTGGCATACGTAACTCTTCAATTATTCATCTGATCTTTTTCGATTTCTGACACTCGCACAGCTAAACATTATTGTAAAGAAGCTGGATTTTTTGGRTAAATTTAAATAGTTGATACATTCGTTGTACACCCACAATAGAGCCAAGATTTCAAGCATGTATTGCATTGCAACGAAAAGGAGTTTGCACGTTTAGATACTTACTTTTTGATATTCATTTGAAGTGTGTTATGAGGTTGATTCACTCTTTTTTCACCTTTTTATATAAACATGTTGTACCCAGAAAAGTTGTCCCCAACCTTTGAAACGATCATTCAGTCTTTTTGTTTATAGTTTTATTACCAAACTATAATTTAGTGACTGTAATTTTTTTATTTATTTTTGAGWTTTGATTTTTGGTCTTTTGTGAAGTGTTTTATAAACGGTGTTATAACTTCGGTCACCTTCGACTGGTGCTTATTTGTGTTTGCTGGTCAATGGACACCCATGAGTGACTACTCGTAAATATAAAAAGTCATGGACTCGTTTTCATGGCGCAGATAATAAAACTAAGGGAGGGGTGGGGTAGTTTATTGTAATTCGGACGTTCCCAGGCTTTTGCGGTTGTGTCAGTTGAGAGAGAGAATTGGAAGCGTTTGTGGCAATGAATGGAAGGGATATAGGATGGATGAATGAAATAGGGAAGGAATCGGAAAGATCACACCATAAGCATAGATTCATTATATTTTAGATATTCATGTAGTTATGAACTGATAAAGCAAAAATTCTCTTTATTTCAGTAAATGAATAAAATATAGATTGCGATTTGAAATGTTGAGCCAGCATTCTTGTCGCTCAGCTGAGTTTCAATTCAGTCACGAGACCGGCCTTTCATTWCATAACGAAATTCACCATGTTCACGAACTTTTCAAACTCTATTTTCTACATACTTTTAATCCTGTTTGTTTCGCCAATCCTGTCTAAATATCTACCTACATGGCGATCGCTTGATTCTAGACCACTGCCSTCATGGTACGACAAGGCAAAGTTCGGTGTTATGATGCATTGGGGAGTTTACTCCGTCCCTAGCTTCGGCTCAGAATGGTTCTGGGATCACTGGAAAAACAGGCATTACAATTCTTGTATAGAGTTYATGAAGAAGAATTACCCACCGGGATTTAGCTATGCCGACTTTGCGCCGATGTTTACAGCTGAATTCTTTGATGCTGAYTTATTTGCGAAGTTAATTGAAAAATCTGGAGCTAAGTAAGCACCACTTTAGATCATATCATAGAAAGGCTTCCGGCYTGTTGTTTGCGGCGAGTGTTGTTTGTATAGCGAGCGGTTTACTAGAAGATTTGTTTACTCTTTAAGTGTGTTTCAATGCGACGATTGTGCTGTAGTTATTTTTAGTATTACCTTGAGATGTGTGATATTGCTTTGCGTGTTTGAATGGCGTATTGTTAAGCCTATGTTAACTTAAGCATAGCTACATGTACACGCAAAGTTTATAGATCGTAATCTTTATAAGCTTACATAACAACTTTGATTTGATACAAGGAAATAATAGCATAACTATGAACAACCTCTCTAGATTTCATGGACAATATGGGGAAAAAATCTTTAGAATTATAATTTTTTTGGAAAGTTTTCTTAATTTATGCAAAGGTAGATAAGCTTATTTTAATAATTGATTCACAGCTACATTGTTCCGTGGAKGTCTTTTAGGCTTACTGTCACTCAAAAGCCTGAAGGCATTTAAGACATGAATTAATAATTTGTACAAACTAATTTTATGAATAATATTCTTTGAACAGATATTTTGTTTTGACAAGTAAACATCACGAAGGTTGGACAAACTGGGGATCAAAATCATCATGGAACTGGAACTCTSTTGATAATGGCCCTCATAGAGACCTTGTTGGTACAGCATCTTATCCTACTTTTCTACTCTTTCATGCATTCATTCTCCCTTCATTCTCCCCATGTTTTTTATTCCTATTTCATGGACTTTTGTGGATGAATTGTTATATAGTACTGCAGCATATTCCTATTGAAGCCATTATGTTTTTGATTTCTAGGTGAGTTAGCCACATCAATCCGAAAAAACACTAAYGTAACGTTTGGTTTGTATTACTCCCTGTTTGAATGGTTCAACCCTATCTATGGCAGCGATAAAGAAAATCGCTTCAAAACGCAACAATTTATTAAGGTACAATACATGCGTTAACTAATTTTCAGAATATTTCAATAATTGAATCTTAGTTAGCAAATCATAGCGTATGTGCAAACAATAAATGGAATAGAATATGTTAAAATTAAAGTTGGATGCATTTATATTTATGTTATGATAATAATTTATATTTCATCTATGTTAATTTTACAAGGACAAAGTGGGCCCAGAACTTCRCGMCATAGTGAATAAGTACAGGCCAGAGTACATTTGGTCTGATGGGGACTGGGAAGCTTCAGATACTTACTGGAATAGTACACAGTTCCTTGCATGGCTCTTTAACGAGAGGTATTGTACTGTATATTTTTCTCTGTAATCAAGTTATTTATAATATT